TTGACATTACCTAAAACGTATATAAAAACAAACTTTTAACAACAGCAGAACCCTGTTAGAAAGTTGACATTACCTAAAACGTATATAAAAACAAACTTTTAACAACAGCAGAACCCTGTTAAAAAGTTGACATTACCTAAAACGTATATGAAAACAAACTTTTAGCAACAACAGAACCCTGTTAGAAAGTTGACATTACCTAAAATGTATATGAAAACAAACTTTCAACAACAGCAGTACCCTGTTAAAAAGATGACATTACTTAAAACGTATATGAAAACAAACTTTTAACAACAACAGAACCCTGTTAGAAAGTTGACATTACTTAACATGTATATGAAAACAAACTTCTAACAACAACAGAGTTCTGTTAAAAAGTTAACATTACTTAAAACGTATATGAAAACAAGATTTCAACAACACTGGTGCCACCACAGTTTACTACTTAGTGTTTATAAACGTGTAAGAAAACTAGCTAACAAATATAGCAGTGATGGTACTTGACTTGGAAAATGATGATTGAGAGTTTTGTTCTCTTTGGTATTGATTTACACATTTAAATACCTCTAATCAGTTTTTATAACAAACTGTCTTTAACTTAATGTATACATTATGTCATTTAAACATTTCTAATTTACATGGCTTACATTTGATTGGAAGTTCTTAATACTTTCTCAGCAGTATTTGTAAAAATTTATATTGTTGTAGCATGTTTAAATAATAAACTTGCAGCACATTGAATAACAATGTTTAACATCTTAAGACTATGGAATTTGGAACAACCACCCAGTGTTATAACAGCTGCTTACAAATATATATATACATATCTAATCAAAAACACTGTAGGTGTGAAAAAAAAGATGCGGCCAAAAAAAGGAACGGAGCATGCGACTTAAAGGAATGAAATTAAAATTGATGGCCAAACTGGTCACTACACTTATAGCATTGATAAGAATTTTACAGAAAATATTCATTAGTTAGCTAGGCCGAGTAGTTTGTTTTACCCACCATCATGTTACAAGTTAAACAAAAAACGTGGCTTGGCTAACTAACAAATATTTGTTGTAAAATTTTGATTTCATTCCTTTAAGTCGCACACTCAATCCTTTATTGGAGACACCTTTTGTACACAACTAAGGTGTTTTTGATTAGATATCTTGACTTTTTGTCAATACACACCAACAACTACACCAAATAAGAAAGTGACACTCGATAGTAACCCACATTAGCTTTAGGATCGCAACCTTATTATTCGCAACAGACCTTTACAGAACCAACCAGATTCTTTAAAATATATGATGGTAGTTTTTCCTCCCTAAAACAGTTAATACCTTCTTTTTAGTAATCTATATTAACAGTTTCTTCTCATCACTCCCATGTACTCAGAACAGCCATATCAAGCATCATTATTTGTGCTAATTGCTTAAGCTAATATCATGTGATGCTAAATGCTCTTTAATTAGAAGAATTTCATAAAATTTAGTAAATTTGTGTTGAAAAGTTGGCAATGAATAATAACTGTCTACCCGTATGATTATTTTCAAAACTTGAGCTAGAAACTGCTAATCTAGTTTGCTTGGCCTAACCAATACTTATGTATCTGCATGTCCTTTCACCTTGTAATTTTGCTGTTCTAAGTTAGCTGTCTTTAATCCGAATGACAAAAACTAAAAACAGTCCACTTTTACTTTTAGTGAAGCTGTAGTAACAATTTTAAACCGATAGTTCACGTAACATTTTGAGTAGGAGTGCGCAAACATTTTTATCAAATTTGAGTGGTTTTTGTTGAATAACTTTGCACACGTAGCTTATATTTACACCAAATGAGACTCCTAATTGTAGGTTGAAAAGATCTATCAATGTGCCAAGTTTGAAAAAAATCCATAAAAGTTAAATGTGTTTTTAAATCAAATAAAGTTTCCATACTTTTGGTGCAAAGAAGAAAAAAAAGGAAGAAACACAATCAAAATTGAAGATGTTATATCTCGGGTATTTCTTAATGAATTGCCTTGAAATTTGGTATGTGAAATAAGATTCCACTATAGCACATCCACTGAAAATATGTGATAATTTGGATTTCCACAGTCCGGGATAGAGAAGGTGGAAAATCGCTAAACTATCACTCCTGTTAATAACACACAGTGTGTCCTGCAGCAGGTTATTTTGGCTGCATGACACACTACCGTGTATCTTGATATGTACATGTAACTATTTTACAGGCATTTGTTATAGCAGCTGCTTAAAATATATATACATATATGTACACGCAACTACTATATTAATGTATTTGTTATAACAGCTGTTTACAATATATATATCATATATGTACATGTAACTATTTTACAGGCATTTGTTATAGCAGCTGCTTAAAATATATATACATATATGTACACGCAACTACTATATTAGTGTATTTGTTATAACAGCTGTTTCCAATATATACATGTGTCTACACGTACATTTAACACTTTATCAGTGCATTTGTTTCAACTGTGGCTTACAACATATATGTTTACTTTATGAGTGTTTGTTATAGCAGCTGCAACACACACACGTCCACATAACTACTTTATTAGTGTATTTGTTATAACAGCCATTTACAATATATATGTGTGTACATGTAAATACTTTATTAGTGTATTTGTTATAACAGCTGTTTACAATATATATATGTGTGTGTACATGTAACTACTTTAAGAGTCTGTTTGTTACAACAGCTGCTTATTTGTGCACATGTTAAACAGACTGATTAGCAAATGCATGTTGGTCAGAACAACTGTTGAAAGCTAGTCTGTGGTAATATGACTTTAACAGTTTTACAGCTGCTGCGATATTAACCTGTAACTAAATGGCTTTTTTTATAATACATCCTTTGATAAACTAACCTTTGTTTGAATATATAACCTGTTATGCCTATTGGCATGTTATATTATGAGTTACTTGCAACATTTGTTAACAATTTCACTTATAGCAACATACTTAAGGAATAATATCTATATGTGACTTTAAAATACAAACCAAACATGCACACTTCACTAACAAAACCAAGTGCCGAAATAGAAATGTCCAAAAAAAAAAAAAGGTTTTAAGGCACATTCGCAAAACTGATAAATAACAT